AGCGCTAAGCGAAATGTTTGAGATGATATTTGAAGGGATGTGAGATTGTGCAAGGATCTCCAAGTGAGGGAGGAGGTAATCAAAAGTGAGAAATCGTTTAGGTTTGGTTGCTGGATTAAGGTGAAATTTCCATGAAAGTTCATCATTAATCTGTAGGTGATAAGGCGAATTTGAGCGACTGGTGATGGTGCCAAGGAGGGAGGTGAAAGGAAAGAAGGAGGGGTGTAAAAAAAAGACTTGCGGAAAATGCAAGTGGTCTGAGTAGCTTGTATTGCTACTTCAGATGTGGGGGGTTCAAACAGGCTTTGGCCGTAAAAAGGTCAAGCCAAACAGTTTCTAGTAACATATAACTCCAAAAACTCGGCCGATCGCCAGAGATTAGTGAGGGGAAATGACATCTTTGAGGTGCTACGTTGATGTTATAGCGGGGTGCGAGTAGTGACACGCTTAATCAGCTTCCATACTCTGAGAATGAATAGGTGCGTTTTGTGGTTGTGTGTCTTCAGGTATTATTTCCAGGCTTTAAGCAGGTCTAGGCCTGCTTCGAGATTTTTAATGGTGAAGGTTTTACCGTGTTTGTTTTACGGTTAGCTTCGTGGGGAATCCCATTGATATGCTATACCATGGTTCCTCAAGGCTTAGTAATGGTAATCATTCTTTTTTCGGTTAAGCAGCGTGGTCTTTGGAGACCTGCGAATAACCGGACATTTGCATGTGACGGTGGTAGTGTAGATGTATTTCTGGCTGCCAGCATAATTTTATCCTTTATTTGGTAGAAATGAATCCGGGCTAAAACATCTCTAGGAATGGAGGCCGATAGGAATGTTGGTTTAGGTAGGCGGTGGCTCGGTCTATGGCCAGCTCCAGGTCTGAGATGGATGGGATGAGGACTTTTATATACTGTTTTATATAGGATAGCAATGCTTCATTAGTGATGCTTTCAGGTATACCCCCTAAACTTGATATTGTTTACGCCTTGAACGATCTTCCAGGTTGGCTAGTTTCAAATTAATTTGTTCGATGTCCGAGGTATGATCTGTGTGTGCGTCAATCAAATCATTGTGCGCTATAATGATGTCGCCCATTTTGGTTTCAATATGTTGTATTCTTTGATCTTGGTGTTTGACCACGTTAGTGATGTGTACCAAAGATGATGATAAATCATTATGCAGGGTTTGTTTAAGGGATAATAGCATGTTCTTCATGCATATCTCAGTTACTGGTTGATCTGTTGCTGGGAATGCCTCTATGACAGGGAGGTCTGTGTGTAGCTGTGGGGGTGAATCACTGAGGGCCTGGCATGTCTGCTGTTGTTCAGGGTCCAGTCTGATTCTGGACTTGGCTGGGCTTCTTGTGTGTGGGGGACAGAGGGGGAGACAACTCACCAGGTCCCCTGATATAGTGGGTATCTCAGCCTGTGGTCTTGTTGCTGGGCAGAGTAGTCCCCTTGCTGCCTGCTGTCCCTCATGTCACTGCCGCTGGCGCCATCTTGGATTCCTGCCGTGATGGCAGGGAAGAAATGTGTAAGTTTCCCCGCTGCCCCGGGGTTTTCCTCCTGCGGGGCATGTCTGGGGAGGTTCGGACACCTCTCGTACAGGTCGCTGTGGTGTCAGAATTCCCTGGGGTCTGTGTGTGAGCCGCGATCGTTCTCTGGCGGCTGGACGGAGCGGTTCACACTACACGTCCATACGGGTGCCGGCCGCGCATGCGCCCCCCCCATACCACATTTATGGCCAATAACTTGCATATAAGCCTTCCAAATGGGCATTTTTTAAATTTACAAGTTCAAGTCCCATAGACCTGCATTATGTTCGATGTTCGCAGTATAACTTTCTACCGCAAACCGAACACAGGGGGTGTGCAGACCATCACTTGTGGCTGAGAAATGGGAAGTAATGATGCAGCCTCTTCCTTAATGTACCATACGCCTCCCCCTTGCAAGGCACCCGTGCCCACGTTCAGGGGGCAGTGGTCTCATCTCCACATTCTGTGCCCAAATAGGGTGGCTGCATCATCCCTTTACACCCAACACACATATTAATGACACAGGTTCTGTGGCTGAGTAAGGTGGTAATTAACTGCTTCCCGTCCACCATATAGCAGAAATACTGCTACAGGGCGGCACAGGTGTGCAAAATCACGTATATATACGGTAGGGTAGCGCCACCATTCATGGACGTGGCTGTAAATCACTGGATCCTGGCCGTGATCACTCACACTCCGGTGACTGCTGAGCATCACCGATGAGGAGGACAGTTTCTCCTCCCTGTCAGCTTGTGCACACTGCTTTGGATGGCTGTACAGTGCTGTGCACAGCCATCCAAAGCAGTGTGCACAAGCTGACAGAGATTACAGAGAAGCACATGGACACAGCTTATAGTAACACAGCACACAGTTAACCCTTTGATCTCCCCAGATGTTAACCCCTTCCTGCCCAGTGCCATTAGTACAGTGTCAGTGCTTTTTTTTAGAAGATCTGAGGGGAAGGCTGCTGGGATTCAGTGCAGTCCCGGGAAAAATGGGGTACTTAAAATAGATTTGATTTTTGGATTCTCTCCTCCTTCCTGGTCCAGATCCTCTCCTCCTTCCTGGTCCTTAGCCTCGCCTCCTTCCTGTTCCCGATCTTCTCCTTCTTCCTGGTCCCGATCATCTCCTCCTTCCTGGTCCCGAACTTCTCTCCTCCTTCCTGGTCCTGATCCTCTCCTCCTTCCTGGTCCCAATCCTCGCCTCTTTCCTTGTCCCGATCCTCGCCTCCCTTCCTGGTTCCGATCCTCTCCTCCTTCCTGGTCCCGATCCTCTCCTCCTTCCTGGTCCCGATCCCCGCCTCCTTCCTGGTTCCGATCCTTGACTCCTTCCTGGTCCAGATCCTCTCCTCCTTCATGGTCCCGATCCTTGCCTCCTTCCTGTTCCCAATCCTCTCCTCCTTCCTGGTCTCGATCCTCTCCTCCTTCCTGGTCCCGATCCTCTCCTCCTCCCTGGTCCCGATCCTCGCCTCTTCCTGGTCCCGATCCTCTCCTCCTTCCTGGTCCCGATCCTCTCCTCCTTCCTGGTCCCCGATCCTCTCCTCCTTCCTGGTCTTGATCTTCTCCTCCTTCCTGGTCCCCATTCTCTCCTCCTTCTTGGTCCCGATCCTCGCCTCCTTCCGGTGATGTCCCTCCCTCCCGTGCATTCCACGCGCGGGTTCCGGTGCACTTCCTCACATACACAGGGCATCCCGACTCCATTCTCCCATCTTCCAGCCCAGATGACAGCGGCAGACCCTGCTAAAGCAGCGAGCTAAGAACCTACTAATCTGATACGTCTGAAGTTTGTAGTCCTCTTGTGAGTGTTTTAACCTCTTTAACCCCTCCCCCTCCAGAGGATTCCCCCCTGACCAGGCCATTTTTTTCATTACAACTCTGCGTTACTTTAACTGACAATTGCGCGGTCATGCAATGCTGCACACAAATTAAATTTACATCCTTTTTTTCCCACGAATTGAGCTTTCTTTTGGGGGTGTTTGATCGTCTGTACGTTTTTTATTTTTTGCGCTATAAGCAAAGAAGTGACCAACAATTTTGAGGAAAAAAACAAGATTTTGGACATTTTGCTATTAAACATGTCCTGTAAAAAAATTAAAAAATCAAATTTCGTCATAAATTTGGCCAAAATGTATCCTGATCCGTGTCTTTGCTAAAAAAAAAATCCCAATACGTGTAAATTAATTGGTTTTACATAAAAAGTTATAGCGTTCACAAATGGCGGTATAGATAATGAGATTTTTTTTTTCTACTAGAAATGGCGACAATCAACAACTTTTAGCGAGAGTTCTGACACTGGGGGGAACCAACTTGGTGTCACTGACATCTTCAGTGACACCAATACAGTGATCAGTGCTAATAAAAAGCACTGATACTGTACGAATGGCACTGGGCAGGAAGGAGTTAACATGAGGGACGATCAAAGGGTTAACTGTGTGCTGGAGTGTATTACTAGGGGGCGGTGGAGTGTGCTTCACTGTAATCACACTGCTATGGATGGCTGTGCTGTGCAGTGTGCCCGAGCTGACAGAGAGGAAGATTGTAAACAAAATAATCTTCCTCCCCATCGAAGATGCTCGGTAATCTCTGGGCGGGTAATTACCGGCCAGGACCGGTGATTGACAGTCACAGACGCGAATGGCTCGACCGCGCCCCCTACCAGGAAATGAGAAATCACGTATTTATATTTCTTTATTTATTTATTTCAGGTACTTGTATAGCGCTGTCAATTTACGCAGCACTTTTACATATATATCGTACATTCACATCAGTCCTTAACCCTCAAGGAGCGTACAATCTAAGGTATCTAACTCACATTCATATACAAGGACCAATTTAGACAGGATCCAATTAACCTATCAGCATGTCTTTGGAGTGTGGGGAGGAAACCGGAGTACCTGTAGGAAACCCACCGCATATATATATATATACTGCATATACACATACTGCACTTAGCTGGCGCCTCCTGTCCCTCCCTACATAGCTGGTCACTCCCTGTGGATGGCTGCCGCCGGCAACTCTTTGGATTTTTTGTATATTGTGGAATTCTGGGCCTTAAAAGGACTTTGTCAGAGTAATTAGGACTTATAAGGACTCCCTTACATAGTGTTTGCATTACCATTGGTCCCAGTTAAGCGCCAGATCATACTGTTCTCTTTGGGGGGAAGCCCCCTGCACCAATTCACTCCTCCATGTTGAGGGCATGTGCCCTGGTGTAGTTTGGGGGGAGTGTCAATCATCCCCCCCCTCTTTCCTGACCTGCCAGGCTGCAGGCTCAGATAAGGGTCTGGTACGGATTTGGGGACCTCAAGTCATTTTTTTTTAATTTTGGAGGGTCATTTATTTTTTTAATTATCTGTAACTGTCCTGACATTTGGGGGATATCTGTACTGTTCTGACATTTGGGGGATATCTGTACTGTTCTGACATTTGGGGATATCTGTACTGTCCTGCATTTGGGGGATATCTGTACTGTCCTGACATTTGGGGGATATCTGTACTGTCCTGACATTTGGGGGATATCTGTACTGTCCTAGACATTTGGGGGATATCTGTACCGTCCTGACATTTGGGGATATCTGTACTGTCCTGACATTTGGGGGATATCTGTACTGTTCTGACATTTGGGGGATATCTGTACGTCCTGACATTTGGGGGATATCTGTACTGTCCTGACATTTGGGGGGATATCTGTACAGTCTGACATTTGGGGATATCTGTACTGTCCTGACATTTGGGGGATATCTGTACCACCTGACATTTGGAGGGATATCTGTCCTGTCCTGACATTTGGGGGATATCTGTACCATTCCTGACATTTGGGGGATATCCGTACTGTCTGACATTTGGGGGATATCCGTACTGTCCTGACATTTGGGGGATATCTTGTACTGTTCTGACATTGGGGGATATCTGTACTGTCACCTTGACAATTTGGGGGATGATTCCGTGACTGTTCTGACATTTGGGGATATCCGTACTGTTCTGACATTTGGGGGATATCTGTACTGTCCTGAACATTTGGGGGATATCTGTACTGTCTGACATTTGGGGTATATCTGTACCGTCCTGACATTTGGGGGATATCTGTACGTCTGACATTTGGGGATATCTGTTTACTGTCCTCTACATTTGGGGGATATCTGTACTTTTTTCTGAGGGAACTGGGGGATATCTGTTACTGTCCTGACATTTGGGGGATATCTAAATTGTAACTTGTCCTGACATTTTTATCTGTACTATTAAATAATTTAAATTAAAATTATTTATTAATAATATAAATTATTTATAATTTATAAAATTTTATATTTTATAATAAATTTTAATAATTATTTTTTATAAAAAATATAATTTTATATAATATTTTTATAAAAAAAATAATTTATATTTAAAAAATTTAATTAATTTATAAAAAAATTTTTTTATATATATATTTTTATAATATAATTTAATTTATTTATTAAATTTATATAATTAAATTTTTTAATAAAATAATTTATTTTTTTATAAAAAAATAAAAATAATTTAAATAAATTTAATTTTTTTAATTATAAAAATAATATAAAAATTTATAAAATATAATTATATTTAAATAAAAAAAATAAAAAAATTTAAAATTAAAAATATTATAAAATTTTAATATTTATAATAAAAATTTATTTTTTTTTAAATTTTATTTTTTTATATTTTAAATATTTATATATTATTTTATATTATATATATATAATTAATTTTTTAATTAAAAAATAAAAATAATATATAAAAATATATTTTTAAAAATATAAAAAAAAAAATTTTTTTATTTTTAAATAATAAAATATATTTTATATAAATTTAAATATTTTAAAAAAAAAAATTTTATTAAAAATAAAAATTTAAAATTTTTTAAAAAATATTATTATAAAAATATAATATATAAAAATTTTTAAATATTTATTATTTTAATAAAATTTTTTTTTTTTTTTAATATTATTTTTTATTATTTTAAAATTTTAATTTTTTTTTTTTTAAAATTAATTTTTTTTATAAAAATTTTTTTTTTAATTTAATTTAATTTAAAAAAAAATAATTTTTTAAATTTTAATAAAAATTTTTTTTTTTTAAAATAATAAATAAAAAAAAAAATTTTTTTTTATATAAATAAATTTTTATATTTTTATAATTATTTTTATTATATATTTTTTTTTTTATAAATTTTTTTAAATTATTTTTTTATAAATTTTTAATTTTTTTTTTTTTATAATATTAAAATAATTATATTTTTATTTTTTTTTTTATTTTTTTTTTTTTTAATAATTTTATAAAATAATTTATTTTTATAATTATAATTTTTTTTTAAAATTTTTTTTAATTAATTTAAATAAAATATTTATTTTTTTTTATTTTTTTTTTTTTATAAAAATTTTAAATTTTTTTTATATTTTTTTTTTTATTTTTTAAAAAAAAAAATTTTAAAAATATTTATTTTAATAATTTTAAAAAATTTAAAAAATTAATATTAAAAAAAAATTTTTAAAAAAATAATATTTATTAAATTAAAAATTTTTTTTTTTTTAATTATTTTTTTTTATAAAATTAAAATTTTATATTATTTAATATATTTATAAATTTTATAATTTTTTTAATTTTTTTTTTTTTTTAAAATTAATTTATATATATATTTAATTATATTAATTTTTTTTATTTTTAATTTATTTTTTTTTTAATTTTTTTTTAAATAAAATTTATTTTTTTTAAATAAATTTTTATATTTTTTTTTTATTTTTAAAATAAAAAAATATTAAAAATAAAATATTTTTTTTTTTTTTTTTTATATTTTTTATTTTTTTTTATATTATTTATAATTTTTAATTATATTTTATTTTTTTTTTTATAATTTTTATAAAAAATATTTTTTAAAAAAAAAATTTTATAATTTTTTATATTTTTTTTTTAAATTATTATAAATTTTTTTAATTTTAATATATTTAAAAAAAAAAAAATTTTTATTTAAAATTTATTTTAATATTTTTTTTTTTTTTTTAATTAAATATTATATTTTTTTATATAATTTTTTTTTTTATTAATTTTATTTTTATTTAAATTTAATTTTTTTTTTTAAAATTATATAATAAAATTTTATAATATAAAAATTTTTTTTTTTTTTTTATTTTTTTTATTAAATATAAAAATATTAATTTTTATTAATTTTATTTAAATTATTTTTTTTTTTTAAAATTTTTTATTTATTTTTTTAATTTTAATTATTATATTTATTTATTTTAAAAATTATTTTTAAAATTTTATTAAATAATTTTAAAATTTTTTTTTAATTTATAATTTTTTATAATAAATTTTTTTTTTTTATTAATAAATATTATTAAAAATTAAAATATAAAAATTTTTTATATTTTTAATAATTTTTAATTTTATATTTTTATTATTTTTTTTTATAAATTTTATTAATTCCTGAACATTTGGGGATTTCACATACTGTCCTGAATTTGAAGAAATCTGTACTGTATGAGCGTTGTATCCAAATAAATTTAGTCCTAGACATTTGGGGGATATTTTTAATTTGTTAATGACATTTTGGGGGGATATCTGTACGGGCCTGAAATTAAAAAAATATCTGTACCGTCCTGACATTTGGGGATATCTGTTTTGTTCTGACATTTGGGGGATAATCTGTACTGTCCAATAAATATCTGTACATTGTACCCTGACATTTTTAAAATAATCTGTAAAAAAACCCAATATTTGACATTTGGGGGATATCTGTACTAATTAATATACATTTGGGGGATTAAGGGTATACTGTCCTGACATTTGAAACATAACTAATAATACATCCTGACATTTGGGGGATATTTTCTGTACCTAAATTTTGGGGGATATCTCTATTGTCCTAAAACATTCTTGGACCTCAAGAAATTAGATTGGCCGTCAGTACTTCATATCTTTTGATCATTTTCAGATATTATCCCATAGTTTTTGGAAACTCTATAACTTTCCTACAGATAAAATAAATACATCCTAATTTTAAATAAATTTTCACCAAAGACATGGAGCAGAATACATCTTGGCCTAAATTAATGAAATAAATTGTTTAACTAACAGAAACAAAGAAAAAACGTGAGGTTTTTTTTCAAATTTTTTTCAAATTTTAATTAATTTAGCAAAAAATTAATAAAAACCCCAAAAAAAAGCTCTAGTTGTGTGAATAAAAAATGATAAAATTTTAGTCTTGATTTTTAACAAATTTTGTATAACCGCGCAATTGTCATTCAAAGTAAAAAAGTCAGATAGCTCTGAATCCTGAAAATTGGCCTAGGAAGGGGGTAAGTGGGGGGTAAATTATAATAATAATTTAATGATAAAAAAATAATAATGATTAATAAAAATAATTTCCTGATTTCAGGTTCCGATATCTCGATGCTCAATCCCCTTGTTTACCCCGGAAGCAGAAAAAGTTTGGCTCTTCCATACATAAATGCTGCTATGAGTGTTCCCCGTGTCCAGAAAGGAGAGATATCCAACATTTCCGTTTGTATTTGTTAGTAAGTGATTGTTGGACTCGGCAGACTTTACCAATGTAGTTAACCGGTTACGTGCCGCCCTATAGCAGAAACTTTTACTGCTACAGCTCGGAACGGGTGCGCACAATAACGTATATATATGTGATTTCACAGTTCCGCGTAGCACCGCCATTCACAAGCCTCGGCTGTCAATCACCGGTCCCGGTTATGGTGATTACTTGCTGGCACCCCGGTGATCGCCGAGTTATCTCCGAAAGGGGAGACTACTCCACTGGTGTATAGACAACACGGATCTCTCGCCTGTCAGCTCCTGCACACTGTATTTGTATGGCTCTGACATAGCAGAATGCTTTACAGTGAAACACAAACACAGCACACAAGTTAACCTTTGATCGCTATAAACGTTAACCCTTCCTGCCCGGTGCCATTAGTACAGTATCGGTGCATTTTATTAGCACTGATCACTGTATTGGTGTCACTAGGGATGGTCATGCAGTGACACCAAGTCAGCCCCCATATGCCTCCACCCACCCCCCCCCCCCCCCCCCCGTGTCAGAATGCCCTGTCACAGCCCACTATAATTCGCTGATCGCCTCCATTACTAGAAAAAAAAAAAATTCCAGTATATATGCCGCCATTTGTAAACACTATATATAACTTTAAAAAATTAATTTACACGCATTGGATTTTTTTTTAGCAAAGACACGGAGCAGAATATACATTTTGGCCTAAATTTATGACGAAATTAGATTGTTTAAATTTTTTAACTGGACATGTTTTTATATCAAAAAGTCCAAAGATCATATAGGTTTTTTTCAAGAAAATATTTTTTTTTGTTTATAGAGCAAAAAAATTAAAAGACACACAGGTGATCAAATAACACCCAAGAAACAAACAAGAGATCCCTGTGCTCAAATCCCAAAAAGCTAGTACATGCATTTACCCATCAGGTGCTAAAGGGGTGTAACCACATATTAACACTAGAAATACACCCGCCCCTCCACTGCACACCACCCATCCCACCGATGGGTCCCAACACACCACATCCCACCCACCGATGGTCCCAACACACCATCCCCACCGATGGGTCCCAACACAATCCACCGATGGGGTCCCAACACCTCCATCCCACCGATGGGTCCCAACACATCATCCCACCGATGGGTCCCAAAACAACTATCCCACCGATGGGTCCCAACACACCATCCCACCGATGGGTCCCCAACACACCATCCCACCGATGGGTCCCAACACATCCATCCCATCCCACCGATGGGTCCCCAACACACCATCCCACCGATGGGTCCCAACACACCATCCCACCGATGGGTCCCAACATCAACACCATCCCACCGATGGGTCCCAACACACCATCCCACCGATGGGTCCCAACACACTATCCCACCGATGGGTCCCAACCATTCGCTTTAGCTTAAAAGTATGTGCCGCCTCCAAAGACCAACAACAGCCTCCGGAGCCAGAACATACCGAGAATAAAAAAAAAACACCCACACACACCCCAGGGAGGGTGGGAGGAAAGCTCGCTCCAATAATGTTGTATCCTGG